AAAGTACTCTTTGCATCAAGGGAACTTAGAGAAGCTCAGTTTCTATAGCAAATGGAATACTGAGTGGTACAGTTTAAAAGGGTTACTACTGTGAGTGAAAAAATGAAAATAATGCAGTGATCCAGAGAGACACTCTGAGCCCACGAGTACACACTGCCACTCGATTTTTTTGGGCCAGGGATATGTATGCGCCTCTGTCTAATTGGAAAGCCAGGGAAATGGCAGGCCTTAGCTTCTGCTGGTGGGGACACATGCTGGAAATGTTTTACTTCGAAGTGACTGGAACCCTATAAGAAGTTTAATGCTTAAGAGACAGTGAGAATGACTTAGAGAAAAAGAACTAAGATTCTCTCCATTGGGCTGTCCCAGCCTTCACAAGGTTGACAACTATATTTTTTAAAAAGTGTGATGGATTCAGAGGACTCCAGAAAGTTTTCTCAAAAAAACCAAAAGGGTCCCCTCAGAAAAATGCCTGGGGAAATACATCATCGTAATGGTATAGAAATGCATCAGAAACTGCCTGCAGATTGCCCAAAGAAAACAGCCAATTTTCTGAGAAGATTGAATAGAAACGGTGCATGCACCCAGCTTCGTTTAATGCCCACAGAGTTTGTGAGAGAATGTAATTAAGAATGAAAAGAGGTAAGAGGCTGAACCCCCTTCTTTGTGGTTTCTTCAGAAGGTGGAGGCCCACTCCTTCTAGCAGGATTCAAAATAGTAAGTGACAGTGGGGGGGTTTCCACACATTTGGCTCTGTGCCAGAATGTTCTCGCTCATGTGGTTTTCAAATTTTACCCTAAAGGCAGATTTATGAATATTTTTAATGAACAGGCCTTCCTCTTCTTATTTATAAAGAAGAGCTTTATTGTTTTATTCAATCAGTAAAATAAAATTAAGTCTTGAGTTTAGGCAGTAAATTTTTTCATTATTTCTGTTTATCTACTATGTCTATAATAGAGGTAGATACAGCATTTGTTTTTGCCATCATGAGGCTTCTGATTTGCAGTCAGAAAATCCTAGGGTGGTGTAAGGCTTTTATCATCACAGAGGCCTTATCAGGGTCCTATGGAGGTTTAAGCACAGCAGCTCTCTTTCTCAGCTCATGTGGTAAATCCCCCTGCGAGTTGAAAAACTGCTGTGTCATCTGCCACGGAGAGCAGAGGTTGGGGCAGTGGAAAGAACCTGAGTTTAGATGTTGACTCCTTTTCTTGCTGGTGCTGAGACATCTGAGGCCTTGTGACCCTGTGGTTAAAATGTGAATAACAGCTTGGGCCTTAGAGAGGGGGGGTGAGATGATACACAAAAGGCACTTAGCACAGTGCTACCATACAGAAAGGAGAAGCAGTGGCTATCCCTTTGTTGCAGTTAGTACAGCATCCCAAAGCTTCAAGTCATCAAGCAGAACACTTAATGGCTATGATCCATTTCTCCAAGTTCTGATTTTGTCTACATTTCCTTTATACATAGCATGATAAGAAATCCCTAAGTTTTGCATTTATTAAGGATCCTTCCTCACTAATAAATACAGAAGGTTCTAGTCAATGCTAACCTTTAAGAAAAGATCACCTGTTTTTTTTTCCTGCATTTTCATGCATTAAGTATTTCTTCACATGAGTCCGAGATTCATTGTCCCATAGATCTTAACATTTTATAGAAATAGTGGCACAAAGTCTTGAATGGGTCGTGGGTAGTTAAATGTATAAAGAAAGAAGGCTGAAGAGATAGCTCAGTGGCTAAAGTATACTTCATACAAGTGTCAGGGCTGGAATTTGGGCCACTGGAATTGCACATAAATGGCCTGTGATTCTAACCTTAGTAGGTGCCGACAATAGACCCAGAGAGCAGACTGGTTAGCAACAGCCATATCGGTGAGCCCTGGGTTTGATTGAGGGATCTTACTTCGATGAATAAGGTAGAAGGGATTGGGGATGATTCTTCACCTCAACCACAGGTTTCCACATACACTCACTGATGTGTGTCCACATGAGTATCCATCCATATGTGCCAAAGGGTACCGATGCATACACGTGCACAAGCACAGCACACACACATACATTAAAAAAAAAATGGAAAGAGGGAAAAACAAACAAGGCAGATGCAGAGAAGGACCAGTGAAGAGCACAGAGGTCCAGACCAGGCTGGTGAAACACACAGAAACAGCTGACCTGAACATCCGGGAACTCTTGCTCCCCAGTCTGATAGCTGGAATACCAGCATGGGACTGATCCAGACCCCAAGAACATGGGTTTCTGTGAGAAAACCTCAGAAATCTATGGGACTTCCTGTAGAAGCCCAGTATTTATCCCTAGCATAGGTGTGGACTTTGGGAGCCCATTCCATATAGAGGAATACTCCCTGAGCCAAGACACATGGGGGTGGGCCTAGGCCCAATCCCAAAGGATACGAAAGACTCTGATGACACCCTACGGAAGGCCTCACCATCCAGGGGGAGCAGAAAAGATATGTGACAGATATGGGGGGGTGTAGAGGAGGACGGGTGGGAGAAGGGAACTGGGATTGTCATGTAAAACAATCCTGTTTCTAATTCAAATAAAAAAAAGTTGGGAAAAAAAATACATACAAGGCAAACAGGAAGAATTGGGTTAGCAGGGAGCCAGCAGGCAGTTCAGGGCCTCTTAGCCACAGATGTATTTCCTAAGACTGTTCCACCTGGACAACTAGACTCCTGAGATACTTAGCAAGCAAACAAAGTGTTTCTTGTCAAGGAAGTTTGCCCAAAATATTTCGCATGACATTACCCTCTGAGAAGGTCTTGGCACACACCAGCATAACAGAGATTTGAGAACACTGTTCCCCTTAACACTGAGTATCATACCACCCGGTAACACGTGGGGAACATCCCATTACCCTTAGCTCAGAACTGGGAAAAAGAAATACTTGTAATACATGAAGATGAAATGTTAGGTAACGGGGGCATGCGAAAACTGATGGGAGAAGGTAGGACTGATACTCAGTGAAGGCTGGTGTGCACACTGGGAACTGTGCCACTTCAAGAACATTTGTTCTTTCCCAGAAGCTCTTTGTTGGTTTTGAAGTAGGAGGGATGTTTGCCATGCTTTAGAGAAGAATGCCATGAAATATATTAGTCCTGTTTAAGTGGGGACACAACGATCTTTTAAAAAGTGGGTGATCTTGAGAAGGCATGTGGCACAAAGCCCGTGCCTCTGAGCACAGCTGTTCTAGTCAGTGAGAAGTGTGCAGAGTTTGGAATCTGTAGTCTCTGTTTCCAGACAGGTAGTATGGTACGGAGACCCGTGTGCCAACCTTGGCCATCCTCCTAATGTATGCCAGCGTGTGTAACATATGTTCCTGCATCTGTAAATCATTAGGAAAAAAGAAACACACCTGAATATCAGGATTTTCAAAGACCAAAGTTACAAGTCACACTTACAACTCTTCCTCCACCCCCAGTGCTAACCCCTTAACCTACCTTCCTTACTTTCATATTCTTCCATCAAAATAGTTTTCACGTGGATAAATACTGGGACATGTTCCATTGGCATTACCAAAGAATATGTGCCATTTCTACTTTCAAGACTCAGTCATTGTCAATGAAAGTACTATCATATTGTATATGTATACTTAACAAACTTTACATGATCCCTGAAATTATAGTCATATATATATGTATATATATGTATATTATATAATTCCAAAATGTAATATAGGATATTTGCATGAAATTGCAATTTACTATTGCTAAAGAATGAAGCTACATTTTATTCTTTATAAGTCTCCAATTGTAGTATGTGGTATTCAGTGTGTCTTATGAAATTAATGGAAACTGTCAAGGCACAAGACCCTAAAATTAGACTTATTTTATACAACATAATATAACCAATGCAGTTTAATAGCAGGATATTTTGCATAGTAGACATGCCAGGACAGAGTCAGGCTGAGATGTGTGAAGTGTGATGTTAAATTTCTTATGCTTTACACACTACCCTGTGCCTTACTCAATGACAACCATCTTAGAGGCAACTATTGTTTTATGAGGATGAATCTGGCATCACTCCAATTTTAAGAAACTTGAACTTAAGAAGTTAACATAAATACTGGTTAATTCCAACTCGTATATTCTTCTCTATTGGTTGTTGCTTTTAATCCTCATGCCACATAAAGCTGAAAGCTACTTCTTTTTGTGACATGCTTGTGTATCATTAAGTGTGAAGCATTAATAGATTAAACTAGGACCAAGATGCAAATACTTCATGCTGTCCGGTATTTACTTTATTGAGCCATGAATCTCAATCTCTTTGTGTAGGCTAACAAAAACAATAGCCATAGACATGTGATTTCTCTTCCTTTGTCGGACATATTTGCTCTATTGACAAGGAAACTGAATGTGGGAGAGATACTTTTTTTTTAATAGAACAAAATGAGTTAGGGATGTTGAGTTTGTTTAAGGGCAGAGGTAACAGGAATGGATTTGATCTGCATTTAGGGTGATCCGTCAGTCCCTCTACCTTTTTCCCCTCTCACATTCTCTTCTTTGGGAGTCTATTGTCTGTATCCATTTCTATTAATGACTACATGTTGGTACTCAAACCTACGATGTAGCATTGGCTTCTATGTGATTTATTAGACTTTATGGATTGGGAAATATAATGACAAATTTCTGATACATGCCTCCTGTAGGTGTCTTAGTTCTAGTTACTGTAACTTGAGGTAACATAGACAAAGGCTGATAAACAATAGCAGTGCATTTCTCATGATTCTGGAGGTCAGGATGGGACACGTGTTCTGTTGTGGTGAGGGCTGTCTCCTGGGATGCAGACTAACTTCCCCTTGTGTTCTTATGTGGCAGAAGTGGAAATCCTATTCATAGAGGCTCCACCCTCTGACCTAACTTCCCAAGGCTCCACCTCCTAAAACCGTCAGGGATCCCATGTGAACTTTGGGATTTGTGGAGGAAAGCACAAACATTGCATTCATGACAGGGTCTGCGTGCAGTCACTAAAGAGTATGTTCTCTTGTAGGAATGGAATTCCACCATAGAGAAACTGAAGAGCCAAGCCCTGAAGATTCTACTGTCTAAGGATTTCACAGAAAAAGAACATCTTCAACTCTCTAACCAGAAACTAAATCGGCTTCAAGACGAGTTTGGTAGACTCATGGTGGAAAGAAAAACCTGGTTAACAATGGCAAATGACTTTTTTAACAGTGCTAATAAGGTCAGTGTGAGGTCAAGATGATAATCTTAAGTACTTGGTCTAACCAATAAGAGACCCATTATGTCAGCTGGCCAAGGACATGTCACAGAAGGCCAAATTCCATGTAGAATATCAAATTGATAGGCGTACAAAAGAATTTTAAAATCATATTCCTATTGTGGTTACTGGTTGTTCTTCAAAACTAAGAGATTATGTTTTGATGTGCACAGATTTTAAAATAACTCCAAAGCAAGATTTACTGGTACACACCTTTATTCCTAGCACTCAGGAGGCTGTGAATTTGAGGCCAGCCTGGTCTGCAGATTCCAGGCCAGTTATATAGTGAGGTTCTGTCTTTAAAAACAAACAAGCAAACAAACAAAAAACAAATAAACAACCGCAAAAATTACTTATAAAATGTTTCCTTTTAGAGCTATCTTTGGTCTGTTTGTAGGAGACGCTATTCTCCACATTAAAATGTTTCTCCCAGAGACGAGGAAATGCAAACTATCCCAGGTTAAAAAGAAAATTTAACAGTGTGACCAAAACACCTTTTGTTGTTTGTTTTAAAGAGTATTTCAGGTTGGCCCCCACTTCCCAATGTAGCTAAGGATGGCCTTGATCTGACTTTTCTGTGTCTGTCTCCCTAGTACTGAGGTTGCAGGTATGCATCACCACACATGGGTTCTATAGGACCTGGGGTTTGTGCATGCTAAGTTATCATCTGCTACTTGAGCTATATCCATGACTCATTTTTGTTCTTTTAAAACATTTTTTCTTTAGCTTATTAGGTAGAAATACACAGATATTATGTCTTCTGTGCTCTCCTAAGTTCATTCTGCCTGGGTCTTACAAGAAGTAGTCTTGGTTAATTATGAGCTTTTGGGGGGTCTCACTGTTTTAATGCAGGAAACAGATATACCACATGGCTGGAAATATTGAACAAACTAGATGTTAATTGCTAGTTATTTTTCTCTTTAGCAGCCCAATTTTGAAGTAAGAAGTTGCAAAATATCCATCGCACCTTTACGCTGCAGAATGAGCGAGCTGTTTTCATGATGGCTGTTATTGCTGCTCAGGGAAAGAGTAATAGAATGCATTCTATAAAACAATGCTTCCAGTAGAAGCTGCATAGCTCACAGCCTTGCAAACTGTTGATCATTCTGTCTCTCCCTCTCCCTTTCCTTCCTCTCCCTCTCTCCCTCCTTCCCTCTCTCTCCCCCCTCCCTACCCCACTCTCTCTTGTTCTCTCATTATTTCGGTTTCCTGCATTCATTATTTGAAACCTTGCTTTGGCCATTTGTCATCCCACTGTGTTCTCAGGCCCTGAGGGAACTTGTAAAAGTTGAAGATGAGTTGGTGGAAGAGAGAAGGAAGACGGAGATAGGAAGGAGGAAGGTGGGTGGGGGGGACAAGAGAAGACTACCTGAATCTCCTACAACAATGCAAGCCTGCTCTAGAGAAGAGAATGCAGAAGAGTAAATTCCTGGACTCCCTATCTCGTCCCACAGCATGCTAGCTATCCATACTATAAAGTTGGCTGGCATTTACCTGTGCTCTACTTCTTGGCCAGTGGTTCTCAGAAAGGTTTAGAGTTCTTTCTTTTTAAGGAAATTATTTCCAATTAAAAACTAATAACTCAGTGTGAAAGATGATGGATATGGGAACTGGAATAGAATCACAGTTTGTAGAGTGGAAGGTTAATCATGCATCCACATGTACTGTTTCTATGTTAGTAAGGTAAAATAAATGACGAAATTGTGTAGAGAGAAAATCTATGTAAGCTAAGAATCAAACTCTTCTTCAGACTTTTAAGTGACATTTTTCTTTTTTGATTCATAATTTAGATTTTCCAAATTAAAAAAAAACCTTACCATTTTACTTAATCTTGGCAGATAACTCATAAATAAATCTCTGAGGGGCTTGTTTTAAGTTTATTATAATATCAAATCTTTAAAATAATTTTCAGCTTGGTGGTATGGTACACACTTTTAACTCCAACACTTGGGAGACAGAGGCAGATGGATCTCTGTGTGTTCAAGGCTAGCATGGTCTACAAAGTGAGTTCCAGGACAGCCAGGATTGTTACACAGAGAAACCTTGTCTCAGGAAACCTAAAATAATAATAATAACAATAATAATTTTCTAGGCTAGAATTCCTGTGTATACTAGTGTCATAGTTTTTAATTTACATCATTGCTTATCTCAGAATCACTACGTTTTCTCTTTGAAAATATCCCTGGAATGTGTCTGGATGATGCTGGTTTCCTTGCTGTGAGCATTTGTGTTTGTAGATGAAGTCATGTTCTCATGAACTGAGGACTCAGAGAGTTTACCTGACTTTCAGGCTCACATGCTGTCCCTTCATGGATGCTGGCAGAAGACTTGTGGTTTCTGGGTCACTGCTGAATAATGACTGCAGCAAAGCAGTATCTGGGTGGCAGCATGCAAATGAGCTCAGTATGTCTCAGTCCCACCATGGGTGATGGAGATGAGCAAGGGCACATGTCTGCCCCACAGAGGAAGGGGTGAGGAGAGGAACTCTCCACTCAGGTTATCTGCTGTTTTATAGCAAGCAGTGGGCCTACTCTTTGTCTCAGGGGGTGACATAACCTCAAACAGAAGATTGTTAGATGCAGAGCCCACAATGAGAATGATGTCCTACTAAAGAGGTTAGGTTATTCATTCTTGGCATCCAAGAGAGAGGTGTTAGAGAGCACACATGCAAGATTGGCTGTCAGTGCTGGGGGGTGGGGCAAGGAAGTCCCTGCCTAAGTTCTTTCCCACCGATACCAATTCTGCTTCTAATGTGAGAATTATTATCTCAGCAAACAAACTCATTGGCTGAAATTCCTTATGTTCTCTCAAGTGCCGATGAGCAGAACATGCTGGTACTGTGAAAAAATGAGACACTGGGATGGTGTGAAAGTCAGCTTACTAAAAAATGAGATAAGGGGTTAAAATATACTTTTTGAGGGGCTGAAGGGATGGCTCATTAGGTAAGAGCACTTGCTTCACAAATGTAGGGACCTGAGTTCAGATACCAGAATCCTCCTAAAGTGCTGGGCATAGTTCTGTGCATGCCTGGAACTCCAGCATTGTGAGGGGCAGAGGTGGGAGGATAATGGGAGCTTGGTGGCTGACATCTTAGTTCCAGGTTCCTTGAGAAAGCCTGTCTCAGGGAATGAGGCAGAGAGTGACAGAACAGCAGGAAACCTGGCATCCGCTTCTGGCTTCTACACACCTACCTGCATACATGTGCCCATACACCACCACCACTACCCTAACATACACACACATACCACCACCATGCTAACACACACACACACACACACACACACACACACACACACACCACCACCACCACCACCACTAAACTAACATGCACACACACCACCACAACCCTAACACACACACACACACACACCACCACCACCACCACAACCCTAACACACACACATACCACCACCACCCCAAAGTATTTTTCAACTTTGTATAAGTAGAAAGGGATGAATATAAAGTTTTTCTACAGAATAGACAGCAAATCTTTATGCTATATATAATACTTAGAAAGACTTCTTCTACCCTGTGATTATTGTTACAATCATCCCCCCCATTCTTTCCATTTCCATTAATTCCTCTCTACCAGTTCTAGATTGAGTAAATACATTCATTTGTTGGAATCACTGAATAAGCAGTACAGTCAATCCATGGCAATAGCTGCCTTCATCTTTAGGTATTTGCTTGTTTAGTGAGTACTTATTGAGCAACTTCTATGTGACAGGCACTATTCTAAATCCAAAGGAGTCAATATAGAGCAAAATGTGCAGAAAGTGTATGTCAGTATAGCTTCCAGATTTTGAGATCCAGGAAGCCGTAAGAACCACCTAACTGTCCACACTGAGAACAGTGCCACCAATGACATTGCCTTGTGGCTCCAGAAACCCAACTGATACCTTGTAATTTGCCTAGGAGTTGGGGACAATTACTCAAACTGTATGAATCTGTTTCTCAAGCACAGAAAAATGTGAGCAGTGTATTGTTCTAGAGAGATGACTGCTTGAATCTGGACTTAGCAGCAGGTACAATGTTGGGATATGAGCCTTAGGAATGATGCTGTATTTGTCCTAAACCAGCCTCTAAACCCAGGCAAAGATTGAGCCATGCTACTTAAAGAATTGACATATTTCCTTTGCAGAGTTCCCTACTGTATTTGGTGAACTGATTTATTAAATCATTCAGTCATAAATTAACTAATAATGTTGATGGTTTAGAGAGAGTATGTTGACTGCAGAAGAGCGCCTCCCTCTGATGGTTCTCTGAATTGCACTCTCATTGCATGAGCATAGCATCTGTTACAAAACATCCCTTGATCTTCCACGTTTTCATCCTTCCCAATTGTAGGTGATTTTTATTTTTTTATTTTTTTGTTTTTTTGAGACAGGGTTTCTCTGTGGCTTTGGAGGCTGTCCTGGAACTAGCTCTTGTAGACCAAGCTGGTCTCAAACTCACAGAGATCTGCCTGCAATTATAGGTTATTATGTGTGTTGTATTTCCAACATTTTCATGGAAAATTGTTAATATCTATAGACCATCCAGACATAATTATCATTTGGGGATTGTGATTGAACGGGACAGGGATGAATATCTATTGTGTTTCAAGATCAGAACAGCATGAGCCTTTTATTTATGCAACAGTCCTACTGAATCCAAATCTGTCAAGAATGGCCCTAGGGTTGTCAAGTTTCATGCCCATACCTTCTGTTCCCAGGCACAAGAATTCTGGGAAGCAAGGAGAAAAGACTGAGGCCAAATTTATTTTATAAGCATGCGCTGACCTTCAGAAGGTCAGTCTGAATGCAAAGGTGAACTCAATTTGGGGCATTCAAAGAAACACCTAAGTTCTCATATGAAGCATGATGAATGGCGTAGCTTCCATTGCTTCAACCATCACTGTTGTAAATGTATTGTCTTTTAGAAGGAATGGTTGCTTTTCAAAACACAAGTAATCCCTGGAGCCA